TCCTGGCTGCCCGCTACGCTGGGCAGGAGCTCTCACCTTGCCGCAGTCCTACCCCGACAGGGCCCAGCCACCTTCCCACCTGGTGTCCCCCTGTGCAGCATGCGCCCTTGTGCCCCCTGCTCTGTGTGCTGGAGGGGACGTGTCTCTGCACCACAAATACTTGCAGCTGGGGCCCCGTCCCCTCTGGGCACTGTGCTGGGTCACCCTGCAGGTGCCCACATCTGCTGCAGCTGGTGGCACCATCCATTCCCCCTCCCTGGGCTGCCTGCCAGGTCCTCTGGGGCAGAGGGGCAGCAGGACAGACCCCACCCCACTTTGGGTCCCTCCATGTTTTACTTGACGTTATCAGTGGGGAAACGGGATTTATGTTTGTTTTTTGAAGGGTGGGGGGTCAGGGCAAACTGAGGTGTTAGTGGCTCTGGGGCAGTTCCCCCCGTGCCATCGTTTGCTGTTCCTCTTCTCTGTTTGGGGGCAATGGGGCAAAATCTCCCCCTGCAGGGTACTGGGCAGCTCCTCCTGGCACGGGAGGTGCCGTGTCTCTTCAGCCACCCTCCAGCTGTCTCTCTGCCAGCTCCCACCCACACCCCAAAACTGGGGGCAGAGACTGCCCTGTAGTCCACACTTGCTCAGTTTCTGTCACAAGAGGTGGGTGAGTGACCTGGCCCAGGGAGCAGAGCTGGGAGATGGGACCAGCTCATCCTCCCTTGGCAGCTTCAGCCTCCTTGTTTTGTCCCTGCCTGATACTGAGCAGAGGCCTGGGAAAGGTGACCCAAACCTAAAGCTGTGGTGTGTCCAAGTACTAGAACTGGTACCTTGGTGGTTCTGCTTTGCCCTATGGCTTGGATCACCAGGCAAGCAAATGTGTAAAACTCCAGCGATTTAGGTGGCATTAGGCTGCTCTAGCCCTTGCAAAGTCTGTCCTGCTGCTTTTGACTGAGCTTTTGTTATTCTGAAAGACAAGGATTGTGGATTCTGCAAGGTGACTTTCCCATAATGCCCTTTCCCAAAAAATACCTCTCTCAACATGCCAAGAAATCCTTTTGCTCTTTTATAGAACTTTGTCTGAAGTTTTCTGAAGCCTGTTCAGGAATTTCACCTTGCTCATAGATTTCCCTTACCCATTTTCTGGAAAACAGGCTACAATGCTGCAGATACACTCCCCCTGCGCTCCCTCTCCTGCCAACGGCCTGTGACCTTTGGAAACCCCCATGAAATAACTGAACACAGTTCATGATTCCTACTGAAAACAGGACTTTGAGTGCCAAAGTCACCTTCACACAGCTGGTGCTCCAAGAGGCACAAAGTACCTGACAGCCTGTTTCAGGGGGCAGGTGCAGAATTGTGCTTCTGGAGCAGCCCTGGACAGCCACCGTGGCTGTGGCTGCTCCTGCTCCCTTTTCTCTGGGGCAAGTGCTTGTAGGATCCAACCATCATCTCCCTCCTCTCCATCACCTCCCCAGGCCAGAGCTGAGCCAAGCCAAGTGGAACTGGCTCTGCTCACCCCAGCTCTGCAGTGAGGTGCTCTCCGACAGCCTTACGATCCGGTTCGTATAGGTGCTCCCCTCATGCTGTAATTGATCCATGTAGAGAGGCTGTAGCCCTGATGGGAGAGGAACTGGGTTAAAGAAGGAGAACACCTTGTGAAAAGGCAGGGAACAGTTTCACTGGCACTAAGCGCTTTGTAGGTGTAGTAAATACCAATAACCCCCTTGGGGATGCTCCCTCCTGCTCCCAGCCAGTTGCATTTCAATACAGTTTAACCTTGAGCCTCCTTTGGCAGAGGAGCGTGTGGTGTGCTCAGCCCAGTCGTAGCTGTAGGTGTCTCAGGATCACACATTTCACTGTTCAGCACTTATCTGACGATGCTTCGGTAGCACTTGAAATCCACCCCCAGTTCTCCTCTTAGAAGCTTTAGTCTGGTTTCCTGAAGCCGCACAGTGAAACTGGTGCAATGACTTGCTCCAAGAGTCTGCTCTGGGTTTGCTTTTTCCTCTGAGAAGTCGCTCAGTTCTGTAGACGTCGTCATTCCCATGGGTGTTGATCTCTGTGAGATCTTTCAGCAGGTGATGCAGTGGCTACTGTCAGCTGGTTTGTCATTTTTGGTTGTTTTGTTGCTTCTTTTCACTTGAAACTGTGACTTTCCTTTTTGACCTCGATTGATTCGGGAATTATTCAAAGGGGACTAATGGGCAGGACAGTGTGAAGCGTCAGGGAGAGGTGCAGTGTGTTGGACGTGTCTCTCCCACACCAGCCTGCTGGAACAGCGGCAGGGCTGGGAGCCGAGGTCTGGCATGAGGTTTGCCAGTGGCTCCGGTGGGATCTGGTACATTTTCAGCAACACTCACTCCTCGCCACAGGCTGTAAAACCTGCTGTAGATCCTTACCAGCAGTTGGGCTTTGGACACTGTTCCTGGCCAGGCTCCAGGGCAGTCCCTGCTGCTGCCGGTGCCTTCCAGCCCGGAGTGTCCCAGATTGTCCTGGAGTGGTGCTGGGGACTGAACAGAGGTTGTGTTGTACCCCAGGGACTTCTGCACTTCCAGCAGTTGGTGAAGGTGTTCCTGTATATATTTTGCAAAATGTTTTGTGCTTATAAGTGAGACATACACATTTATACA